ATGGTCAATGACAACTTGGAATATATTTGGAATATAAGCTAATTTGAAAAATATCACAGGTCTGCCAAGATTGAATGTCCCCATATAAAGCAGCAAAAAAGCATTGGAGGAGAAAATGACCCTGCAGAGGGCTTAATGGGAGATCAGACTAAACCAGATCGTCTTGGAAGTGTTTGTAGATGGACCCAGGAGGGCAACAAACAGATGTGAAATGGAACAGATATGCCAGCACTTTGACTCCACCACCTCACTACCAGATGATATGAGGAAGGCACAGCTGAACAAGTGACTTCAGGATTCAGAAATGAGATCAGGATACATCATGGACTTATTCACCTAAGGGTGCTTTGTGGCTTGAAACAGGGAGATTTATGGGAAAATATGTCTTAGATTCAGGAATATACACATATAAACATAAATATTCTTTGACCGGGGTCACTCTACTACTTTCTACTTGTGTGACCTGGGGGCAATGACATCTTCTTTGTGGGCCTCAGGCCCGGCCTACGTCTATAAAATAAGAGGGATGGTTTGGATGGTGTCTAAGCTCTTCCCCAACCCCTAAACCTATGGAGTGACAACATCCCCTAATGAAATCAGAAAGAGCAGCTGGACTTGATCAAATCTGTACACAATGAGAGCAAACTGGATGTTGCACGATTTTATACATGGAAGCTGGATAATCAGTGTAGCCCAGAACTACAGACTCTGGACTTGGACAGACCAGGTCCAATCTTGGTGACCACTCCAAAACACTCTTTTGCTTTATTTGCCCCTGCCCAGAGTTTACCCTGAGCAAACCTCCAAATATAGTTCAAATATAGGTTGTATTTAGGTCTACATAGATGTGAGTGAAAGGGTCCCCAGATCCTCTACAAGCATTTAATGTAACAATGCATATTGGGTATAAGAGAGCCTTTATTCTACTCCACAGAAAATGTGGAATATTCAAAGAACTCACAGGAGCCCATGAACAATGCAGATAATACCTAAAGGACTCACAGTAGCCCCCAAACAATTAACGTAATTCGATTCCCTTTCATGAAAGTCCCACTTTTCCTCAAGACCCTACCATCATCCAGACTCATAATGCTATGATGGAATTTAGGAAACAAACTTGAGGTTGCTTGTAGAACAGCTCTCTGGCATGCTGGTGAGTCCTTCTTCCACCCCAGAGACCAGCATAGGCATCCAGCCTAAGGGCTTGTACTCCCCTTGGAAGGAAAATACACTTGGAGTTGCTAAAAAAGCAATCCCCTTCACATCAGACCAGAAATGTCCAAATGGCTCATGGTAATAGCAGAGAGCAAAGTCCAGGTTTTTTAATCCTTCATATTGTGGCTTGCTGATATTCCAGCTTTAGAGATCACATATATATATTCTTCTTTTCCTTCAAGAAGCTGGTTCGGCCAAGGACCTCCCCTTCTCTCTCTAGTAGACTGGATCCTGGAATTGCTATGCCCAAAAAATCCCCCTCTGTTCTCTCCAGGAATTGGGGTTAAGTAATTACCACTGCTTGGCTACATGGTTCTCCTCTTCACAGCTACCATCTCTCAGGCTGGAAGATTACATAACTATCTCTGCAGGACTGGTGCTAGGAAACTGGGTTCCAACGATTTCCTCTTGGGCCAGATGGATGAGAGCACAGACATTTCCCATGTTCCTTTGATCCAAGGCAGCCATTAGCAGCTCTCAGGTAAGTGGAATAATTACTCTGGGGTCTGAGTCTGCTCTTCACTGTATCTCTTTATTCAATATCTCACAAATAAGGGTGAAATAAGCCAAATGACCTGCTCTTTGTGGCACCTCTTCTGAGGTTACTCCCCCAAATTTACACCCATTTTCATGTGTTGACTCTCCAGATGGTGGCTAGCAACTTAAGCTTTAAGAGGTACCCAATGATTCTGCATGCCTAAAACTATAGTTCATGATCCTCCACTGGTACACTTTCCTTTAATAGTCAGCCAGTAGACATAATTATCTCAAAGCAAAGGCATCTATGAACATAGCATAAGAACACAAATTATAAGACATTCTCCCCATAAAACTGGGATACATTGTCCCATAGATGCACACAGTGCCTGTGAGAAGAGTGGGCAAAAACTTAGAGTACATTAGTAACAAGGCATACATGTGGGGAAAATGCATAGCCAAGGCAACTCCTGCTTCTGGTACTGCAGGAAACCAATGTCCTTTCTCCTTTCATGGAGCCCTCACCTGCTCCTCCCTTAAGTATAGCATCTTTGTTGAGTGGGTTGCTGGACTCTTTAGGTCTGCTCCTCTCCACAGTTTTGAATCTCATCTGCCAGAAGTGAGTTCTCTCTTGAATCCCTAGTGAGCTCTTTTCCATGCTGCCAAAGATGAGTTCTCTCTTGAATTCCTAGTCAGCTCTCTTCCATGCTGCCAGAGATGAGTTCTCTCTTAAATCCCTAGTGAGCTTGCCAGAGGTCTCATTCTTCAAAGCTGCTTCCTACCTTGAATGCTGCCTCTCTGAGGCTGTGTCTCGAGAGCGTGCACCTCTGTTCCCTGCCTCTAAATGCCTGACTCTCCAAACTGCTCGCTGTTGGATGTTGTAAGTAGATCTAATGCTAGATATCATGGTCAACAGAGATGGTGGTCTGGGGGAGAGAAAAATCTCCTCCCCTTCCTGCTACCCTCTGGGAAAGGTGCAGAAGTCACACTCCATAAAGCTGTTTCTAATCTCAAACTGTTCACCTCTCTCCAGGGCTTGGCTTGCTTAGCTTTTTTCAATGCCTCTAGGGACAGCTCCATCTGATCTTGAACTTCTTAAAAGGGATGACAAGACTTAGTTATGTCTTTGTGCTTCTTTAGTATATTAATACCAGCTACCTGCCCCTTATTTTCTGTAATTACATCAGTTAGCTGGAAGGGAAAGACCAAATCCATCCCCTTTTTTATAGGCCCAGCACAAAGGCATGGTTCTTCCCACAACACTATAAACTAATTGATTTCTAACAGAGATGAGTACAGACTGGGAAAATGGGCCTGTCCACTTCCTTCAGTCTCAAATAAAGGCTCAATTCTCCATAAGGTCAGAACTTCCCTAATCAACCCAGTACTTAATCATTATACCTTACAAGCCTCCGTGTTTTCATCCAGCCAGTAACACTGACTGACCTCATGAATAAGACTCTTCATCTCTCAGCTCTAGGCATTTTCTCTGCTTGTCCCCCATACCTGGAAAGTTCTTCCTCCTCATCTCTGCCTCCTAGCTTCTCTGGTGTCTTTCAAGTTCCAATTAATATCCCACCTTCTACAATCTTTCAACAAGCTTTCTACAAGCTTTTCTACAAACTTTCCTGATCCTTCTTAATTCTAGCATCCTCCCTCTGTTAATTATTTGCTGTTCACTCTGTACATCGCTTGTTTGTGCACATTCGTTTGCCCCTGGTCTGCCCTGTTAGATTGGGAGCACCTGAAGAGCAGGGGCTGTATTTTGCTTTTTCTTTTTTAATTCCCAGAATTTACCACAGTGTCTGACACATAGTTGGGGCTTTTTATTGTTCAGTCATTTCAGTCGTGTCCAACTCTTTGTGACCCCATTTGGGGTTTTCTTGGCAAAACTACTGGAGTGGTTCGCCATTTCCTTCTCTAGCTCATTTTATAGATGAGGAAATGGAGGCAAACAGGATGAAGTGACTTACCCAGGATCACACAGCCATCAAGTGTCTGAGGCCAGATTTGAATTCAGGGAGATGAGTCTTCCTGACTTCAGGCCTGGCACTCTATCCACTGCATCACCTGGCTGTCCCAAGTTGCGGATAAATAACTGTTTAATGGCTGACCAGTGATAGCAGTTGACATTTACTGCCTATCAGGTACTTTACATACGTTGATTAGTGTGTGTTTCCAGGTTAAGATGCGGTTATTGAGGGGGAGCATGTGTTTATCAGTTAATGGCTGAGAACTCAGGGATTGGAGAACTCCCTAGCTCTTGGCCAAGCTCCTCTGAATCTCAGAAAAGCAGATCTAACCTAGTCTTCCACTCTTCGGACCTAATGCCCCTCTCCCTCTCTCCCTCTCCCTCTCCCTCTCTCCCTCTCTCTCTCTCTCCCTCCCTCTCTTTCTGTCTCTCTTTTTCTCTCTCTTTCTCTCTCTCTCTCTCCCTCTCTCTCTCTCTTTCTGTCTCTCTCCCTCCGTCTCTCTCCCTCCCTCTGTCTCTCGCTCCCTCTCTCTCTTTCTGTCTCTCTCTCCCTCTCTCTCTCTCTCTCTCTCTCTCTCTCTCTCTCTCTCTCTCTCTCTCTCTCCCTCTCTCTCTCTCTCTCTCTCTCTCTCTCTCTCTCTCTCTCTCTCTCTCTCTCTCTCTCTCCCTCTCCCTCTCCCTCTCCCCCCTCTCTCTTTCTCTCTCTCTCTCTCTTTCCCTCTCTGTCTCTCTCCCCCCTCCCACCAGCTGTCCTTCCTAGATGCTTGAGTTTCTCTTTGTCCCCTAGTACAGGGCTGGCCCAAGGGTCTGTGTGCACAAACACAGGGGCCTCCACAAAAGAGAGGAGGTGATCAGTTGACCACCTCCCCCACATCAGGCTCCTCCAATGACTGTCTAGGAGATATACTGCCAGGAGATATATATACAGCCAGGGTCCCCGGTACACAGAAAGTACCACCAGGATCAGAACCTGGAGGAAGATCCTTTACAAAATGGGGCATTTTGTAGGCAATCTATGTAGACCCTGTGTGCACATGTGTACACAAGTAATCACCACTAGTCCTCATTTGTGTGTGCACAATTACCCATAAGTTCATGAAGGCAGGTATCATCATACCCATTTTACAGATGAGGAAAAAGGAGCTCAAACAGAACAGAGTTGTTCAACATCACACTGGCCAGTGAGTGAATGGTGATGGTGGAAATTTTGTCTAGGTCTCCTGACTCCCAAGCCCTTTCTAGAGCTGGAAGGAGCCCTTTGGAAGTCATCCATTCTAAACTCCTCATTTTACAGATGAACAAAATAAGAACTGAGAGAATGAGTGACTTGCTCAATAGATAAGTGTCCAACGCAGGATTTGAACCCAAGTCCCCTGACTCCAGATCTCATACTCTCCTATTGCACTGTCATATAATGAGAGGAGGGCACGTTACTGTTTCTATTCACACAAGCAAATCTCCATTCTTAATCCTCCAAGTTAGAGTATAACGAGGACTTCTACTTATAGCCAAAAAATAGTAGCGAGAGGTGGTAGTTGTACAGAGTACAGTCTGAACTTGAATATTATTTCCCCAGGAAAGTAGGCAACATGTTCTCCAAAGAGTCCCGCTCATGGCTCCATGGAGGCAACGGGAAGGCCTGGGCCTGGGATCCCGGGGATGACGATCCAGGGTATTGGTGAGATGGCGCAGACCGTCAGGGGACAATGAGATATGCAGACTAGATTTCTCTGGAAGCAACTCCCCAACCCAGATACTGGCACCCTCGGGAAGAGTCCTGGTTGCTCTGCCCTGGTTTTGGCTCTGCACTGGGTTGTGAGATGGGAACACTGGTATAGTAATGCAAACCTAAAAGTGTGTAAGCCCCAAACTATTTCTCTTTGGCTTTGAGATGACGCTGAATGATTTTCTGGTGGCAGATTTTCCCTCAGTGTGTTGTTTAGGGCTGAAACTAGTCAGTGAGCCCACACTGAGTTGGAGGTGAGGGAGGTGGCCAGAGGAAAAAGACTTTGCTACAGATGAAAAGGCCTGAGTGGCAAATTAAAAACAGAGTTTACGTGTGTTTGCCTCTGGCTGTGAAGCAGAGGGGCCGTGTGCTTACCCACACATACAGTACAGGCCCGTCATTGTCTTTCCACTATCTGTGATTTAAGTGTGTACCTAGCACTGGTCTGTGTACCTTTCCATGTGAGTATAGGTTGCATCTCTGATATATGTTCTCTGAGCTCTTCCCCAGAAGCGTAGAGAGAAATGCTGTGTCCAGGCCCTGAGGGAGACTCCCAGGCGAAGCAAACTGGGACCGTGGCCTGGCTAGGGATACTGATATGATGTGACAGGTCTCCCCCCAACACTATGCTCCACCCCCACCCTCTTCCACCATCCCTTTCTGGCCCTTCTTGAAGTCTCCTTAGCATCTTTACTTCTCTCCCCCAGCTCCCTGGCGTCCCTCCCTCTACAGTCTCTGTTTTCCTGACCTCTAATAAATTGTTGTATGACCTAAAGCAAGTCACTTTCTCTTTCCAGGCCTCAGTTTCCCATCTGGGAAATGAAAAGGTTGTACTAGGTGATGTCTAGGTCCCCTCCAAATCTAACATCCTATGAGTCTGACACCATTAATCCCTTCCCACTTCCCCATGGCTCTCACATCCTGGGCATTAATGGAAGCAACATTGAAAAGCTGGGAACAGAGTGGGTGGAAAGGGTTAATTGCTGAGATGAGCAGCAATTAACTTCCTCATATCCTGGGAGGAGGGTGCAGAGGTGATGAGAGAAGGGGGTGTTGGTAGGGGATCTAATTAAGGAACTTAGAATCTAAGAAGTTCCAATAATAAATAATCAGCCACTAAGCCCACTTCTGCCCATAACTCCCCCTAACACCACTCAGATATGCATTCATGTATTCATTCAACTAAATACTTATTAAGCACCTGTTATGTCAGGGTCACTCTGACAGTCTCTAAATACCAGCTCCCCTGCTGAGACGTGCCATAGTCCAAGGTGTAGAGAGTAGGAGGGAGGTGAGGAAGATAACACATTTCCCTTGGGTCCACAGCCTGGTTTTCATTGAATAATGGAATGTCAAAAATGGAAGAGACCTTAGAACAAAGAATGTTAGAACAAGATGTCAGGACTGGAAGACACCATTAAAAAAATAGAAACTAGAATGTTAAAGCTGGAAGAGACATTAGAGACCATTAAATCCAACCCTCTCCACCCCCCTCATTTTACAGATAAAGAAACGGAGGCCAAGAGAAGGAAAATGACTTGCCCAAAATCTCAAAAAAAATTAGTGGACAAGCCAGGACTAGAATTCAGGTCTCCTGACTCCCAGTTCCATCCAGGAAAAATGCTGTCCTTCATGAACAAAGATAACACTCCTGATGTCAATGGGATATGGGTTCTGAATTATATTTTCCCAGCAGTGGGGATGGACTTCACTGAATCATCCACACTCTCCTGTCCAGTCTTCCTTAAGACGGACAGTTGTGCATGCTTGTGGGATGACAGATGTAATCAGGTTTAGGGTTAGTGGTTGGGACACAGTCCAGGTCCCCCATAGGGATCAAATCTCAGCCCTATGCTGGACTTTTAAGCTGAGTCTTGAAAGAAGATAAGGACTTCAACAGACAGGCATAAAGAGAGAGGATGCTTCCGACACAGGGGATGGCCTCCAACACGCACAGGGGAAGATGAGGGCAGGACAAGATCAGAGAACAAATTAGAGTTTCATTTGGCTAGAACACGGAGTTCATGAAGAACAGGAATGTGAATTAAGGCTGGAAAGGTGGATAGCATCCAAATCATGGAAGGTTTTCGATGCCAGACCAAGGAATTTGGACTCTGTGCTATGGGCCACAGGGAGCAAAGGAATATTTTTGAGCAGGGGAGTGGAAAGAGAAGAATATTACAAGAGTCCAGTCAAGGGGCTACAGATAGAGCTCTTGAAGCAGAGGTGGGAAGACAGGAATGAAGGCTAGAGACAGAACAGAGGAAGAATCCCAGGAGCAAGAATTGCAAGAAATCTAGCAGATTATTTAGTTCGATTTTCTCATTTTATAGATGAAGGCTCAAGGAAGCAACATATAAATGGATGAATATAACAAATATTCTTCCTCCTTGGGAGATTTTTACAGAGCAGGGAGTAAAGGGGGGCTAAAGATAGGCATTCCTGATGTCATGATTTTGATGACTACGAGCTGTCCCAGCAGGATGTAGTGAAAAAACTTCTGTACTGGAAGGAAGAAGACTTGTGCTCTAATCTTAGTCCCTACTTCCCTTCTCTGAATCTCAGTTTCCCCATCTGTAAAATTAGTTCACTCAGATGATGTCTTCCATTCCTTGACATTCTATGAGCTTATGGACATGAATCCAGAAGCCACAATCACCCTTGGCCATCTCTCTTTCCCCTGGCACAGAGGCAACAGGAGTTAGCATCCCTGGGGTTCCTTCTCTCTTCTTCTGTGCCACCTTAATGCCTGTATGATGGTGTTGGTAAGCTACCTTCTTTATCTTATTTGCAAGCTTTAACCAGGAGTGGAATATTACCAACCAAACATATGCACCCCAATATATAGAACCCTCCCATGCAATGGGATTATGTCACCTGGAAAAGGAGGGAGCCAGGGATAGAGGTGCCAGTTCTAGCCACAGAGAGGGTCTTCTGACTGGGCATTTACTGGGCAAAGGGAGTACTTACCAGCAGGTGCCATCCCTAACGCTGAGGATAGTCAGGGAGCTGCAATTATTTCTGCTAGCCATATCCTCTATGGCAGAGGAATCTCACACTGGGGTAAGTCTTCACCACCTGGGCTGGGTTTACCCACTACCACAACCACCAGCAGTAGCAGCAGCAGCAGGCTGAGGTTGGCAAAGTGAGGAGAAATGGAACATGCCCCAGGGCACAGATGTCTGCCAGCTGTGTGACCTCCAGATTTGCCAGGGGCTAAGAGAGAGAGAGAAAGAGAAGTGTGCAGACGCATGTAAGAGAGAAAAGAAATCTGTGGTCCCTGTATGTATATCTGTGTGTGTGTGTGTGTGTTGCTTCATGTGAACCTACTTTATGTGGCTGTTACTTAGTACATGGGTCTTTGCTACATGTATATGTGATAGAGACTGTGGGGGCCTCTGTGTGAATTTTTTTCTAATATAACTTTGTGTATATCTGTGTACATGATATTCTGTGTCTTTATGGGAGACTATATATATGAATGTTTCTTTATTGATTATGTATCTTTGTCAATATGTGTGGCTTTCCCTATGTGTGATTTTTATTAATGCATGTAAGTGACTGTATGAATTTGTGTGTGATAACTTGGCATATCTGCAAACATAAAACAGTGTATACATATGGTGTATTTGAGTCTTGAGTCTGACAGCAGGAGTGTTTATCTGTATGTATGTGGGCAGAGGCAAAGGAGCCATAAGGGAACTGACTATCTGAGTGCAGCCAGAGCCATAACAAGAACAGTGTGAAGACTTAGACTTTTTCTTAGGGCACTGACATTTGGAGGATACTCTTTTTGGGAATGGCATTTCCCAAAAACAATCTGAGCTTACCTGGAGGTCCTCTGCTCACCCAGGTAGCAATAGTGTGTGACCAGTCCTTAGTTGCCATGGTTTCTCTCCATCACCTGCAATGGGAGCAAGGGCTGAACCACCTCCTTTTCCAGCATGATGGTACCTAAGGTCAGACTGTTCTGTTTTGCCCCATTGCCCCATGTGTAACCTCCCCCCAAACGTTTTTGCCCAACATGAAAAAATTCCTCTGAATGGGAACATGTGTGTGTGTGTGTGTGAGAGAGAGAGAGAGACAGAGAGAGAGAGAGACAGAGAGAGAAGAAACTACTGTATAATTAGGTGAGGGATAAGGTAAGTATGTTTAAGTCAAATCAATAAATATGTACTTGGAAAAGCATCAGATAAAAAATGAAAATAGGCAATAAATTAATATAAAAAGGTTTTCTCCTCCTCTCTGTTCTGTACCAGACCCAATGTGTTCGGAACCTCAATAAGGAATGGGCTGCCTCAGAAGGTAGAAAGCTCCCCATCATTGGAGGTCTTCCAAGAGGAGCCAGATGGTGCTTGTTGGGGATATTGTAGAGGAGATTCCTGTTTAAGTCCAGATTGGACTAGGTGACCTTTGAGGTCCCTTCAGACTCTAAGGTTCTGTGATTCCAGCAACTGTGCCTATACCTCTTCTTCTGAATACTATGTAAAAAGCCTACCTAAACAATTAGAGAGATAGTAATGTTCATGGATAGGCCATGCCAATATAATAAAGATGACAATACTACCTAAACTAATTTACTTATTCAGTGCCATACCAATCAGACTCTCAAAGAATAACTTTATAGATGTAGAAAAAATAATAACAAAATTCATCTGAAGAAACAAAAAGTCAAGGATCTCAAAGAAAATAATGAAGAAAAGTGGGAAGGAAAAGGGTCTAGCACTTCCAAATCTCTGGTATTAGTTAAAAAAAATAGAAAGGTTGTTCAGTAGAACATATAGGTTCAAAACATAGACAAATAAACACATGTAGTAGCAGTATCTGATAAAACCCAAGACCCCAGCTGCTAGAGAAAGGGTTTCACTATTCATAGAAACTGCTAGGACAGTGGAAAGCAACCTGACAGAAACTAAGGTTGGACCATTATCTCACACCATATTCCAAGATAAGCTCCAAGTGGATATATGACTTAGGTATGAAAGGTCATACAGGAGGAAGGGAAGTAATGTTCTTCACAACAATGCATAGGGGAATAATAGTTCACTACCAAATATCATCCTAAACAGGGATAGATAGGCAGATAAAATGAGCAGTTTTGATTACTTAAAATTGAATAAGTTCTGCAAAAACAAAATTAATGAAGTTAAAATTAGGAAAAAATGATTAAATGGAAAAAGCTTTGCTATAAATTTCTCTGATAAAGGTCTGCTATCCAAAGTATATGAGAAACTGATTTTAATTTATAAAAAAAAGATCCATTCTCCAAGAGATAAAATGGTTAAAGCACATAAATAGGCCATCATCAAAAAAAAATTCAAGTTATCAATAGCCAAAAATTCTTAAAATCACTATAATAAAAGAAATACAAATAAGAACAGCTCTGAGTTTCCACGTCATGCCCAACAGATTAGCAAAGATAACAAAAAAGGAAAATGACAATTGTTGGAGGAGCTGTGGAGGACAGGCACATTACTGAATTACTGAAGGAGCTACAAATTGACCCAGCTGTGATGAGCGATAGTTTGGAACTATGCCCTAAAAGTCACTACGATGCCACTATTAGGCATATACCCCAAAGGAATCAAAGAAAAAGAGAAGGACCCATATATATGAAAATATTTAAGGTTTTTTGTGGTAGCAAAGAACTAGAAACACATGGGGGGAGGTGTCCACTAATTGAGGAATGACTAAACAAATTATGGCAATTTAATGTAATGGAATATTACTACACTGTTAAGAAATGGTGAAAGGGGTGGATTCAGATAAACCTGGGAAAACTCACACGAATTGTTTCAAAGTGAAATGACGAGTATCAAAAAACAATTTATACAATAACCACAATACTGTAAAGAAAAACAATCTCTAAAGAATTCCAATTGATTCAATCACCAACCACTACTCCAAAAGACCAAAGATGAAGGATTCTACCCCACTACCTGACAAAGAGATGGGGGACTCAGGCGGAAGATTGAAATGTACATTTTTGGACTTGGCCAATGTCTGAATTTGCTTTGCTTGACTACACATATTTATTGCAAGGGAGGGTTGTTTGTTTGTTTGTTTTTAATTTGGCAGCAATTTGAAAGGGAGAGGGGGATTAGCAATAAAGATGCCCCTCCAAGAAAGAGAATAAAAGAAAGAAAAGAGGGTCATTGAAGCATTTTTTAAAATACACAGAAGAGACCCAGAAGGACATTCAGAAGGAAACAAAGACAAGCAGGATATTTCTGAATTTAACATATTGCATTTATATATACATATACAAATATATAAAATATTTTTAATGCAAACTGTACTTTGCATTGTACTCATTTTCAGTCCTCTATTTTTGTCCTTTATATATGGAAATATTTGTATTTGATGATTTTGACAAGTACAAGAATAACAAAAAAATAAAAATTTTTAATTTAAAAATTGCCCACCTATACTTTTGAATCTGGCAGCTCAAGTGTCCTTTACATTGGGTAAGAGAGTCTGCCTCCCTCCCCCCAACCCCCACTTCCTTGACCAGAACAGAGCTGGGACGCAGATGGTCCAGAGGATGCCCTGCATCAAGAGAGGGAAATAAATCCAGGATCCAGAAAGGACAGAGGAATGGTGAGGAGAAGCAGGAGGGACTCAGAGCAGAGTGGGGGAGGGCTAGAGGTGACGGGAAGCATCAGGTTCATCATTGGCTGCACCTACTCTGAGTCCTCAGGGGTCTCAGTGCCCACCTGCCCCACCACCTGGGAGTAGGAGTGTTCTCCAGGCCTGGAGACAGCCATGATCAACTCATTCCAGCCCTGCAAGACCTGGCCAAGACCACCTAAGAAGCAGAGAGAGGAGTGGAGGGGGTAGTGGGAGAGCAAATCAGGGGCTCATACATTTGAACATTTTAAAGGGCAACTTCAAAGAATTTAAGGGTGAGTTTAGGAGAGCTAGGTGGTACAGTGGATAGAGTGCTAGGCTTAGAGTCAAGAAGACCTGAGTTCATAATCCGGCCCTTGACACTTAATACCCTGGACAGGTCATTTAACCTGTCTGCCTCATTTTCCTCATCTGTAAAATGACAAAGCACCTACCTCTCAGGGTCATTGTGAGCATCAAATGAAATAATATTTGTAAAATGCTTGTGTCTGGTCCATAATAGGTACTTTATAAATATTATTATGTTATTCACAGTGAGTAGCTAAGGGCAATAGAGGGGATTTTAGGGCCTTTCTCTTGTCTTGGCCTCAGTCTCCTCGTTTACAAATGATAGGACTGGACTTCTAAGCTCCCTTGCAGCTCTGACACGGTGATCCTATGATGATCCGATCCTGACTGCATCCCTTTGTTTGCTTTCTGAGTATTGTAAGAAGCCCAGTTCCTCCCACTATTCTGCCCTGGACCTTTCTCTTTCAGGTCAGACCCTGCCCCCCTCCCCGAACACACAAGTGTGCGCACACACATTTGGTCTATGGTCACAAACTGTGTCTTGCCCATTAATTGCCCATTGCTGACCCACAGGCACTGGTTCTCTGTCCCAGAGCTGGCAATGGAGTCAAAGGACCTTGCTTTAAATTCTGCCCCTGACACCAACTCCCCATGTGACCTCGTGCCAGTCACTTAACCTAACCTGGTATCAAATCTCTCATCTGTAAAATGAGGGGGTTGGGCTAGGTGGGCTTGCTCTAGGTCCATGATTCCAATCTGCCAGGCACGAAGGCCTTCTCTCTCTGCAAGGTGCATACGAAGGGGCTTTGGGTCTTTTTAGGTCCAGGGAAGGGGCCTGATTTCTGTCCAACTGAGAGCATTGAGTGAATACACATAGTCCTCCCCCCACCTCCCAGCACTGAGTTGCTCCCCACCCCCAGCCTCCCACCCCCAATCCTCACAAGGCTCCTTCTCAGACTCTGAGCTGCTGGCAAGGAGATGACTCAAGCTGTCTCCAAGGCCCCGGGCCTCCTGCATGGTCAGCTGGGCTGAGCCAACTCAGGCAGGCGGACGGGCAGGCTGGGCTCTCTGCCCAGGCAGGCCCCGGCTCCTCCCTCTACCTCCCAAGTGCCCACACCATGACCTTGGACAAGCTAGTACTCTCTCCATTGGAACCCCAGGAGCCCCAACTCCCCTGTAGAGCCATGGAGCGTTTCCTGATCTCTGGCCTCTGGTTGGGTTCTAGGGTTCTAGCCTCCTTCTCTTGGGCCAGACGGGGCAGAGGGCAGAGAGAAGCACTGACTGTCTGAAGGTCATACGAGGTGATAGAAGAGGGGCTTGAACACACTGAGCTTCTTCCCAAAGGCTCCATCTGTACCCCTTTATATCCCCTTGCTCTCCCTCATATGCCCCACACACATACAACAAATAACAGCTCACATTTACATAATGCTTTGAACTTTCTTCACAGATACCAGGTAAGGTAGAGAGTGCAATATTACCATGCCATTTTACAGATGAGGAAAACCAAGGCCCAGCCTGAATTTGATCACAGTACAGTGCTTCCAGAGTCAGGAGAAACTCAGTTCAAATTCTTCCTCCTTCATTTACTACCTCAGCAAGTCACTTTACTTCTCTGGGACTCGGTAAAATGGAGTTAGACTAAGTGCTTGTTGATTTCCCTTCCAAGCTTTCAATCTATCCCTTGTCCCATGATTTCTAAGTTCATGTACTTTCTGCTCTGCCTCATTATCGAGTACTTGGTGATAAAAAGAGACTTGGATTTGGGGTCACAGAGCCCTAGTTTGAATCAGTGGGGGTTAGGTCTCTTATCAGCTCTAAATCTTTGTTATTCTTAGGATCCTCCCAACCCACATCCTCTACTCCTTCAACTACAAAACAAAGGTAAAATAAGCATTTATTAAGCACCTACTATGTTCCAGGCCTGGTGCTATGCATTTTACAGATATATCATTTGATCCTTACAACAACTCTGAGGGGTAATAGCTATTATTATGCCCATTTTACAGTTGAGGAAACTGAGGTAAAGTGACTTGCCCAAGGTCATGCAGCATTTAGCACAGCACTTACTATAGTTTATTGATTGGAGTATCTGAGACTGGATTTGAACTCAGCTCTTCCTGACTCTAGTCTTATCACTCTACCCACTATACCACCTAGCAGCCTCTACTACCCCACTGAAGGTTCTAGGATGGTCCCATGTGGCAGAAGAATATGAGTGAATGAGAAGACCTGAAAATACTTTCCACATTGACCAACTTAAGTGCCTGAAATCCTACCATCAAAGCTCTGGGCGGTTTTTGTTTGTTTTTTTTATATTTTTGAAGCTTACTTTTAAAAAAAGCAAATCTCATTGGAAAAGTCACATCCTAACCCTTTATCAGCCATTATCACGAAAATGATTTCCCTACAAGGTCCTGGAGTGACAAGGAATGCAAAACAGGAATATGGAGAGAAAAGAGCCAAACCAGGCAGCTCAAACCTACCTCCCCTGTCACCTCCTTTAGGGAATTAGAACTGAGATGAAACCTAGTTTGGGGAATGCAGCAAGAGGCCTGAACTGGGTATCATGAGTTCTGGGTTCTAGTGTGAACTCGGCTACTGACACACTCTGTGACCTTGGTCATATCACTTCCCATCAGTGGGCCTCAGTTTCCTCATCTGTAAAATGAGTTGGTTGGAGAAGATTGAGGGTTCTTCACCTTTTTAGAGTCAGAGAGCCCTTAGGCAATCTGGTGGAGCCTATGGACCCCTCCTCAGAAGCATGATTTTAAATGCACAAAATAAATAAAATCCCTAGAATTACAAAGGAAACCCATTACACTGAAATAAAGATGTAATTTTTTTTCCTACCCAAGTTCACATATTCCCCTTCACCCAAAGTCCCTGAAGGGACCCTTAGGGGTCTATGAACCCCAGGTTAAAAACCCCAGGACTCAGTGATCTCTAAAGTCCCTCCAGACTCTGACAGTCTATGGCCTAAGGGCTCTTTTTAGCTGTAAAAGTCCATAATTTAGGATTCTTGGGCGGCAGAGAGAACCCCAGACGCTGGGTATGCCCTCCCTTTCAGTCTGTGGGAATGTATGCAAATTGCACACAAATCTATGCAAATGAGCAGATAGCCCTCCAAGTTCTGGCACTTTTGCTTGGCCCTGGGAGAAGCAAAGCAGGAAGATGTAACCCAAGGTGAGAAGATAGGGCAGCTCTGGCCATCCTGAGCCCGGAGCTAATGTATCCTGAAAGCAGCCTGGGCCAATCAGAGCTGGGGAAAGGCGGCAGCAGGTCAGTAAGAATAAGCTAGCCCAGGCTTGCGGAGAGGAAGCCCAAGTCAAGTTGTAAAGGGACTTCCCTTAACCCTTTCCCCACCAGCATGGTAGGAGGCCTAGAAAGTCCTCTGTCCATGTTCATTCTTGTCCCTTTCCATTTTTCCAGATCTTCATCTAAATTCACCTCTTCCAGGAAGCCTTCCCAGGTTAACTCCTTTAGTCTCTAGGCATTTCAGCATCCCCCTCTGCCTGTAGTGAAATAAGACAAGCAACAGTCAGTCCTTCCTGTCTCATTGTATTCACAGGATATCCAGCTGAAATGTGTGTTTTTTTGTCCTAGGAACCCTGATTTATGTCCGCGTGTCTGGCCTGTTTCCATGTTAACCTTTCATGCTATTTCTTTGTGTGCATGTGTGTGACTATAGTATTTTTTCCAATAACATGTAAAAACAATTTTAATATTCTTTTTTTTTTATTTTGAGTTCCAAATTCTCTCTCCCCTTCCCCCCTCATTGAGAAGGCAAATAATTTGATATAGGTTATACACATGCAGTCACACAAAATGTACTTCCATATGAGTCATGTTGTGAAAGAAAATACTGACCAAAAAAAACCCCCACATAAAAATTAAGTAAAAAAGAATATGCTTCGGTCTGCATTCAGACTCCCTTTATGCTATTTCTTGTTGTATCTCCCTCTTCATCTTTCTGTCCCTGTATGACTCTTTTGCTCTCTGTGTCTGGATATGTATTCATCTCTCCGTCTTTGCATTTCTCTGTCTCTGGCTCTATATCTCTGTCTCTTTTTATGTCTTTGTTTCTTTATGTCTGTTTGTCTTTTCTCTCCCTCTGTCTCTGTCTCTTCCTCTCTCCCTCTCTTCTTTTCTCTTTCTCTGTTCTCTATCTCTTTCTGTCTTTCTTTGTCTATGTATTTCTTTCCCTCAGGATCTCACAGGTGTCCATCCTAGAGGGGGTGCTGAGGATTGCAGACTGGGGGTGTCAGTCTCTCCACAGGGCACCTTTCTCTGTCCTCCTCAGACCCCATATGCTTGGGCCTCAAGCACCCAGAGCTGGTCCAGAGGGCTGCTGGTGGGACCTAGGCTGAGGAAGAAGGCATCCCAGATGGGTGCCACGCGGGGAGTCCTGAGGTTGGTGACACATAGTTTGTACTCAGTGATGTCAGTGTTGTTCATGACAGGTGTGTGACTGATGGCTCCTAATGGCCCTTCTCCCTTGCCTCCCCCCCCCACACACCTGCTGCTCAGAGCCACTGCCATTGGCCCCACGGACACCATGCTGGCAGCTCAGGAGACCCAGCCCACACTGTTTTCTCCTCTGCTCACCCCCCAGCAGGAGCAAAGGGAAGGCACAGTCACCTCCTGTACTTATCACACACAGACTCCCACGGCCACATCCCAAAGACATGTTTACCTTCACACTCGCATAAGCAGATCCACTCACATACCTTTTTACACACACATACATGTTCATTTATATGACTACTCCTTCCTGTGTATGCTCATGGATGCATGCATGAATCACAGATTTTAGAGCTGGGAGGCAGCTCAGAGGCCATCAGCTCAAACTCTTCATTTTACAAAGCCCTCAATTGTCAGAGGCTGTATTTGTTTGTGTTGGGGGTTTTTTTAGGCAATTGGGGTTAAGTGACTCGCCCAGGGTCACACAGCTAGTAAGTGTCAAGTGTTTCATCTGAGGCCGGATTTGAACTCAGGTCCTCCTGACTCCAAGGCCAGTGCTTTGTCCACTGTGACAACTAGCTGCCCCAGAGGCCGTATCACATCCTGTGACTCCCAAGCTGAGGCCGTTTCTACTGTACCACAATGCTTCCTATATACATGTATGGCCATAAATACTTGCACACATACATGTTCAGAGACGTGCTTCTCCCACCCCCCAGCTCCATTCCTGTGAATATTCACTCGCGGGGTGGGGAGAGATAAGTAGACTCTCACCTGTTGCTTGCTGAGCTTCCGACATTAGTTAGAAAGGAGTATCTTCAGCTGCAAGAGGATGGGGAGGAGTCAAGGTAGAATTCCTCAAGGCAGACTCCACCCCCATCTCCCTTCCCCCTTCCCTTCCCCCCTCCCCCCTTCCTCTCCATCTCTGCTGGCTTGCCTCCATCCTTCTTGTTCCCTAGCCCAGAGCAGAGGCCAGGCTCTGCCTCAACAGGGAAGAGTGTCTGTAGAGGCTGAAGACTTAGGGAGAAGAAGAAGAGGACTCATGAACAAGGATTTATTTATTTATCTGTTTGTTTGGGGGGGGGTTTTGGGGGGGAGGTTAGGCAATTGGGGTTAAGTGACTTGCCCAGGGTCACACAGCTAGTAAGTATCAAGTGTTTCATCTGAGGCTGGATTTGAACTCAGGTCCTCCTGACTTCAGGGCCAGTGTTCTATCCACTGCGCCACCTAGATGCCCCACAAGCATTTATTGAGTGCCCACTATTTGCCAGTCATTTTGCTGAGTGCTTTATAAAATATTATGTTGAGCCTCACCAGCAACCCTGGGAGGTAGGTGCAATTATTATTTACATTTTGCAGATGAGGAAACTGAGGCAGACAGAAGCTTAGTGACTTGCCCAGGGTCACACAACTAGTAAGTGTGATTTGAATTCAGGTCTTCCTGAATCCTGACTCTACACTTAGCCTTCTATCACCCGTGCCACCTAGCTGCCTGGGATGTGGGAGGGGGAAAAGGAAGGAGAGGTAGTACCTGTGTGCCTTGGTGAGCATATATGCTGCATATCTGTGCCTGCATTATGTGATAGAAAACACTGAATGAGGGTCACTAAAGGGGGCATGGGGGTGAGGAGCAGATTATATCTACCTGGTGGAGGCAGATAGATCAGCATGTGTGACCAAGTGTGTGTATGTAACCTAGGGGAGCAGGGCTGGCCAGTGGAAACAGAAAGGACATGGAAAGACTGAGAACCTAGGGAATGTATAACCCTCTCCTCATCCCCATCCCCCTTTCTTCTATTCACCCTTCAGGGCTCTTTTTTGCTCCCCTCACAATTCCCTTTTACTATTTACATATATCCTTGCTCCTCTCCCAGGGCCCCAGTGGGGTAGGCAGGAAAAAGAATCCTAGCATGGACTCTCTCACCACATCACAATCTTCCCTCTCCCCTCTGGCTTTTTGACACCCAAGCCTGACCCCCATTTCCCTACTGTGGGCCCCCTCACTGGCGCACTTATCGGAGATCAGCAGCATAGGCTTGCATACATGACCTCTACCCTGCCCACATATGTGCCCAGACTCCCAGCCCAAATACTATGTCCATATATTTGGCAGCACACAACACACAACTCATCAGAGCACACTCAACACCCTCTTTGTGGGCACAACCCGCTCTTGTCCATGCCTCACCCTCATGCTGGCTTCTGCATACACACACAGAGTGCATGGCAAGCCACACAGGCATACACACGTGTGTATTTGTACTCTGACTAGCTCTCTGGCAGTGGCTCCTGGGGAAGCCCCAGAGGGTGCTCAGTGGAGCACGCAGAGGGAGGGCCTGGCCGTGGAGGGCCCTTCCTGCAGAAATGCTGCCTGGAAAAGCCCCAGCAAGAGCACAGATGGCCCCCTTAGACCCATTTCCTTTCCAGGCCTCAGCTTCTTCATCCCCAGAAAGGAGAAATTAAGATCCCTGTTCCTCCTTTGCAGAACTGATATGTGGGTAAAGGAGACACAGTTTGGGGTGTGGGGGGCACAGTTTTGGAACAAACTGAGAGCATTCACTCCCCAAAAAGAACTTTCAAATTTTTATATGCATAAGAAGCTACAAACCTTCCTTTACCAAAGAATAGACAAAAGCAGAGTTTGGGGACACGGTTTCCTTAGACTCTGTGCTCAGTTAAGAGCTGGGATTGTTTCATCCTTTGTGTCCCCAGCACATAGCACTGTGCCTGATGCATACATAGCAGGAGTTTTATAAATGCATGTTGACTCATGGATTGATTGAAAATGTGAATGTCTTGGACTATCAAGGCAGAGGTCATTTGGGGGTGGGAGGTGGTGCTGACCACTTGGTCTTTCCCACAGAGACTGAGCACAAGAACTGAGCACATTTTAGAGGGAAACTTGAACAGGGGACACTTGTCCCAATGAGTACACCAAGCTGAGTTGTAGAAGGAACGGTTTGAAGGAACTGGGGGCCAAGGCAGGGGTGTTGAGAATGGAGAAGAGAAAGCTCAAAAGAACCATGAACTGTCTTTTCTTTTTTTTTTTAGGCAATTGGGGTTAAGTGACTTGCCCAGGGTCACACAGCTAGTATCATGTGTTTGGTCTGAGGCCGGATTTGAACTCAGGTCCTCCTGACTTCAGGGCCGGTGCTCTTTCCACTGGGCCACCTAGCTGCCCCCATGAACTGTCTTTTCAAATAAATTAAAGGGCTGTCACATGGGAAAGGGATTAGATTAATTCTGTGGCTCCAGATGATAAAATGAATACCCTGTGGGAAAAGTTACAGGGAGGCAGACTTGGGCTCAATATACCAAAAAGCTTCCTAAGAATCAGCTGTACAACAATGGAATGGGACACCTCCAACAGTAGTGAGCTACCCATCATGGATGGTATTGAAGCAGAGATTGGATCACCAGCTGTCGAGATTGTTATAGAGGGGATCTCTGCTCAATAGGGATTGGGCTTGAAGACTCTGAGGTCCCTACCAGTTCTGAAATTCAATAAACAATGGGATGTCTCCTGGACTCAACAACCCAGCAATCTGTGTCATTCTTCATATTCTCCCTGCCCCACTATCCTTGTCCCTTCCTTCTCTAAATCCATCTTTCAGTTATTCAGCAAGTCTTTATTCATGCGTGCCATGTACATGTTCCTAGTCCTTGGTTTAGTTATGTTCCGAGAGAGAGAGACAGACAGACAGACAGACACACACACACACACACACACACACACAGAGACAGAGAGAGACAGAGACAGAGAGAGACACAGAGAGAGAGAGAGAGAGAGAGAGAGAGAGAGAGAGAGAGAGAGAGAGAGAGAGAGAGGACCCTGCCTGATAGAATTCACCCATATGGAACTAAGACTAGAGACAGTCTATGCTAAAGCATGAATGAAGATTTTTTTACATGTTATTGGCAAATATTTAATAAAATAAATTAAACTCTTTTTTAAAAGGATGAATGAAGGCCATAGAGAGTCATTGTTGTGGGGATTCAGAAAAGGAAGATCCTTATATAGTAAGATGATGGGGCAACGGTTGAAGATTGACAGATAGGAAGGATTTTGACAGATCAGGAAAGGCAGTCCAGGCAGGAGAAATAGTATCAGCAAAAGTTCAGAGGTAGGAATGTGTGAGACGTGATTGGGGAGACCATTCTGGCTGGAGAAGAATTTGTGTGGGGAAGCTATGTAAGAACCAGGTTATAGAAGGCTTTGAATGCCTGACTGAATTTAAATTTAATCTTACAGGCAGTAGGGAGCCTTGAAAGGATTCTAAGCAGCAAAAAAAAAAAAAAAGCTATCTTAGTGCTGTAGTATATCAGAGCTGGGAATGATCATACAGACCATCTAATTGTTTCTTTATCTTACAGGTAAGAAATTTCATGTAAGGAAATTGATGCACTAGAAGGGGAAGTGACTTGTCCAAGGTCATACACCTAGTCAATGATAGAGCTATGACCATGACTTCTCTCATGACTCCAAGTCCAATACTGTACCATGCTGCCTCCATCCTTCCCTTGAAGTCCTACTGTGATTGTCTGATTTCCTTGGCCCTTTGACCCTGGAATGAGTTCCTAGTTCATCTGTCTGTCACTGGGCTTACCTGGAAGGGGCAGAGGGAGCAGGACCTGAATGCTTCATCCTCCTCAGAGGCCTGGACCATATTCAGTTCTAGTGCAGAACAAATGGGCCTCAGGACAGGAGCTTTCATGGAGTTCTGTAAGGAGATGACTTTCCATAGTTGTAGAACACCAAGCAGCCCCAAGGTGAGGCAGAGGACAGGAGCACAGAGCTGGGGAGATTGGCTTAAATAGTATTAGGAGGTATTGATGTGAGACACAGGAAAACTTCTCAGAGGTGGCTGGGGTCCCTGGAAGTGGTGGAAAGCTCTTCTGTGCAGAAGTATAACCAGTGTCCAGAACGCTAGAATGGGGATTTCTGCTCAGGTCAGGGTTGGATTTGAGGATTCTGAGATCCCTTCCAGCTCTGAGAATCTATAAACAATGGGAGGCAGCCTCTACTTGTACGCAGGGTGAGGAATGAGTTGAAAATCGCACCAAAGCCAGCTGTGCCAATGGATGGGGGGATGTTGGGGGGGGACAGGTGAGACAGAATCCCAGGGGAGGGTTGAAAGGAGCCTGCCCCCTCTAGACCTGGATGATCAGTCTAGGGGCTAAGCTCAGAGCCTCTTCACCCTAGGGGCTACAACTGTGGATTGGGAACCTGGTTAAGAGCTTTTCAAATGTCTTTTTCTTTCAAAGAAGGTCAGTACTGCTAGATATGGACTGGAAGTCAGACCCAACTGTCATCCAGTTTCTGTCCCTGACAATGTGTGACCTTGGGCAAGTCACTTGTCCTTTCTCTGAATCTCAGCTTCCTCACCTGTACAATCAAAGAAATGAACTAAATGATCTCTTCTAGTTCTGACATTCTGTGTTCTAAGGTCCCTTTCAACTCTAATATTTTGTGTTGTAAGATCCCTTCCCCTTCTGACATATTCGGTTCTATGTCCTAAGGTCCTTTCAGCTCTGATCTTTCATGACTCTACTACATCCCTCCCCCCTCCCCATGGAGACTGCCCCCATGCAAATGGACATACCTCACGATAGGGTTCAACGCTTCGGGTCTGCTTTCCATGTGCCCTCGCCTAGGCCATAAGTTCCCGAGAGGTGGACACGAGGACTAGATGGGTCTCTGGGCATGATGTTGGTGCCCACGTGCAGTTGGAGGCCAAGGTTGGAAATGGGGATGAAGCTGATGATGAAAACTGAGGGAGGGAAGGAGGGGATGGGGGCCCTGGAAGGCACTGAGTTTCCAGATCTGATGCTCGCCGGGTTCTTCGTTAACCCTCCGCGCCCCAGTTCTCGGGCTGCTGCAGTCTGGGAAACAGGCAGCAGCACCACATAAAAGGGGCAGCCGGGAGCCAGAGACACACAAGAAGCAGGAAAAGCTGTGCCAGGAGAAGTTTGAGTCCCGGGCAGGTGAGAGTCCGGCGGGGTTTGGCGGGCGGGGGGCCGGCCGGCGTGGGCTTTCTCGCCCGGTTCTGAAGTTGGTGCGCTTCCCTCCCCCCGTGTTGCCACCCGGCCCCTGGCTGGGAGCGGAGAAGCATGTGATGGCGTCTTCCATATAGGGGCAGGCACGGCACCAGACCGCCCTGCAGAGGCCCTAAGGCCACACTCCCAGACAATATATACCTAGTGCTCAGCCCGAACTGCTCCTCACTCACTCGCTGGCGAGAAGCACAGGAGCCTGGCAGAGCGCACGCAGCCGGAGACCGAGCCCGAGCCGGAACCCGAGCCGCCCGCCCAGTCGAGCCACTTACGGACTGCCCTGGGGAAGGAGGGAGGGGCTCTGAGCCGGGAGGGCAGGCCCAGAGGGGACTCAGGTAAGGCAAGGCTGGCACCGGGCGTGGGAGGGCCGGCCAGGTTCCAGGACCAGCCGGTTGGCAGGCTGGGGGAGGACTGGAGGAGTGGAGCTTGGGAGCTGGAGGCTGGCATGGGATTGTGTGTGCATGAAAGTGCCCAAAGTGAGGGAAGTGGGATCTGCCGCCCAATTCATTGCTCCTTGACACTACAGCTCACTGGCCGAGGCGGCGAGAGGCAGGGCTGAAGGTCTCTTGCCAAGGTTTTTCACCATAAGAGCCGGGCACCCGATGGGCAGGTGCAGGGAACAGCACCACTAGAACTACCAGACAGCCCACGCTCTGGAGCCCCACCAGGGGCTAAGGAAGTTTGGAAGTCCTTCGGGCTCTGGGTGAGAAGCGAAGGAATCTGGCCAGACAGGGGAAAGAGAGGGTATGCGTTTGTGTCCATGTCTCTGTATGTGGATACATTCATGCACGAATATGTGTACAGGTTTGTGTATGTGTATATGTAGTTTATGTTGAAGGGTCTCTGTTAATTGTCCTCATTGAATATGGGGGGCAGGGTCGGAGAGAGTGGAATGGAAATAAACAATAAGCCCCTGACCTCTGCTCTGGGAAAGTGACTAGGCTTCCCAAAACCAGGGAACCCCCATCCCCACCCAGCCTTGGAAAAGTTAGCCTGATTACTCCCTGCCCCTCTGGATCCATAAAGATATGTTGGCTTTCAGGGATCAGGTTGACCTCTAACTCTCCCTCCCTGGAGCACTAGAGGGTAGAGAGGACAGACATGGCAAAAAGCTCCTCCTCATGCTTCAGTCCACAGCCCGGACTTCTTGGCCTGCTGTTCCCCAGGGCACCCATTGGGGCAGTGACTTCTGTCAAGTCTTCCTAGGCAGCATTCTTGGAGATCCTCATCAGAGTGGGGCTGGAATGACTCAATTCCCAGATTTACTCTTTAATTGAGGGCTTTTTAAAAAATCTTCCAGCCCTCAATTAGAAGTACTTGCAGCCCCCAAAACTGGGAATTGGAGATAGCAATAGAAGTCAATCAAGGTCTAATAACTATTTGCCCACCTGTCTGCCTGCCTGTCTGTCTTTATAGTCCTGAGTCATCTGAATAAAGGCATTGTGGTTACCCTGGATATTGGTTGCACACTGTAGTGAAATAATACTAATGCTAATCAATATTTATTTAGTACCTTAAGGTTCTCAAGATGCTTTCTGGAGATTATCTCATTTGAGAGAGTCCTAGGTCCAGTTCTGCTTCTAATTCACTCTGGACCTCAGTTTTTACCCCTGTAAAATGTGGGTGGGGAAGGCAAGAGCAGTGTCCTCTGGAGAATCTCTAAGGTTCCTTCTAGCTCTGTCATTCAGTGTCATCAGGGGGTGGCAGGTGGGGGAAGGGAGACTTCCTCAGCCAGCACAGGGCTTGATTGAATCTAAGGCATTGACAAATGCAGTGGCAGAGGAGTGTCAGGATTGGTGGAGCCAGAGGAGGTGATCTTTCTTATTGGAAATCAGCAATGGGAGTTTCCTCGTGGGGATTGAGGGCTAGTCTTGTTGGCATCAGGGTGCTTGGTGCTAAGCTATACAGGGCTATTCCTCCCATCATGGTCCCAAGTCTCCCCAGGGTTTCACCACCACTTGGACCATCACCTGAAGATGGTATCTAGGCTGCCATCAAGATGGAGTCCTTGCCTGATGCCTGCAGAGCCGGCTCCCTGTACGGCCTTTCTTACCCACCTTTCCTGGGAACAGCTAGGTTATCCCAAGGCCTAGGTCAGAATTTTCTGACTTCACATCTCATTTACATGAGGAAAGGAGTCCTTTCCTTGGCCTGAGCTTACACCCTCAATCTCACCCTGATCCAAGCTCCCTGGTGCCCAGCTAAATTCTTCATGTCCTCCTCCCCACCGCATGCCAAGTGAGGGGCTCCTGAGAGATTTCCCCATTACTAATTTCCCTGAGCTGGGAAGGAAGAGCTCTGGGTTCTAGACCTCACCTTTGTTCCCAACTTGCTTCCTTTGGGGGAAGTCCTTCTTTGGGACTTAGTTTCCTTCTAGCTAAAATGAGGGAGTTGAACTAAGTAATCTCAAAATCATTGCAGCTCTGATTGTGTCTGTGGCTCCCTTCACATCTTTCCGCCATCTTTAGGTTGGGCTACCAAAAGCCAAAGACAGTTGAAGAGGGTGGAGGATGTTGGTGGTATTAAAGAACTATTCATCTGTTTAGATTTTCCCAGTTCATACCTGCAAGTTCCAAACACCTAGAAGGCAGAATGGTATAATGGCTAAAGCACTGAATTTAGAATCACAAAGAGCTCGGTTCAAATCCTGCCTCAGACATTTGCTAGTTGTATGACCCTGGGCGAATCACTTAATTTCTCTGTGCCTCATTTTCCTTACCTTTAAAATGAGGGGGATGGATGGATTCAATGGTCTCTAAGATCCCTTCCAGCTTTAAATCAAAGATCCTATGACCACATCCCTGAAATTGTCAGTCTCGTTGGGGGAAATCAGCCAGGCTGCAGAAAAGGCCTCTTCTCTTTGGTCCCATCTCCCAGGCTCTCCAGTTTAGCTCCCCCCACCCTAAGTTAGAACATGAGGGGCTTGGAGCATTTGCTTCCCAGTTGAGCTCTCCCCCAAGTACTCCCCTCCTCCCTCTACCTTCCCAGCCTCCTGAACCTAAGTCCCATCCTACTGGAAAAAACAGCTGCCAATCATTGACTCGGCATCACCCGCCCCCCCACTCCTTGTAACCCTTCACTGTGAATCCCCATCTTCAAGATGGGTATGGAAGAAGAGGGGAGAGGAAAACTGACTGGAGAGAAGAAAAGCAGAAGGCTGGTGAGGGAGAAATATTGGACCCAGTGCTAAGGTTGCCTCCACAGAAGCATTCTTCAGGCCCCTCAGACCCACAGATCCTCCCCCTTTCCTCTCCCCAAACATACCCTGAAACCCTGCAACATTTATGGGGTTTATTATGAAGTCCTCAGTTACCCCTCCTTCTGCCTAGTCCCTTCTTTATCTCTTCTGCCCCTTTCCTTCCCAAAGCAACATGTGCAGAAAGGGTCTGACATGTTGTGTCTGTGTCCATACATCTAAAGAGTTTGCTTGTGTGTGCACTGTACCATGTACACCATAAAGCAGGAAGGGGGTCCTAGAAAGCATTCAGTCCAACCCCTTTCTTTTACAGAGGAGATAACCAAGGTCCAGAGAGGGAAGTAGACCAACCAGAAATCACACAGCAATTTCAATTCAATTCAACACACTTTTTAATTCAAGTGCTTTCTATGTATGAGGCATTGGAGTTACTAACAGAACCAGGCCAGGAACCCTGGTCTCTTTGACTCCCAGCCCAGGGTTTTGTTCCATGACACCACATCCAACGTGCAGGCTGTTCAGGTATGGGAGGAAGAGTGTAAATGTACAGTGACATCTGAGTGCTTCTCCGTGAAGCATGCTTTGGGTTAGCAGTGGGTCAGTGTTTTGATTCCGGGTACATGTCAGTATTTGTGTTAAGGTGTACATATCACGGTCTCTTTCACCTACCATGGGGATGTGTGTGCCTGTATACCTATTTCCTTGAGGGCGTGTATGTATATATGTGAGTGTGGTGGTTGCCAGGCTAGCAGAGTACCAAATGAGCTGCTCTGCAGCTGATGCTCTCTGTCCTGAGGACTTCCTAGAGAAAGGGGGAGCCCCCAGCCCAAACAAGGGTTTGAGCCATTGCTAGAGGTAGAGGGGCCAGTGGGCTTCTTCTTACAGACCCCACTGGCTCCAGGGTATCATGAAATTCCTGCTACCTCTCTCCCCTAGTTCACTATGCTGTCCACCTCAAATACCTCTTCTCTCCTCAGGGGCAACTAAAGAAAGATGGCAGTCTGACTCAGCCAGAAGCCCAACTCCACTTTATGTGGGGAGTGAGCCTCCCTCCCTCTTAGGTAGCTTTCTGCTCAGATATCCATCCACGCTCACCTTCAGACAGACTACAGCCCCTGCAGTCTCAGGCTAGAGGCCAGGATCCCCCCTCCCAGGTAGGTTCCCTGTCTTTCTTCCCTCCTCCAAGAATAGGGCATAGGCCCCCTCCCCTATTCAAGCCAGGGCTTGGGGGCGGGGGAGGATCAGGATGGGGAGGGAGAGGCGGCTGAGGGGGCAGGAGGCATCAGGGCAGGCACAGCTGTGCCGCTGTGAGTTCCACTTGATAGATGGTCTCTGTGCAGCCGCAGCCGTCGCCCCGACCCACATGAACATTTTTCATCCTCATCCCTCCTCGGGGGAGCCTGTCTGTTCTGAGAGAAGCTCACAGAACCCAAACACAGACTCCCAGGACAAGCTGAGAATTGCAGGCTAGGTCCCGAGATTCGTCGAGGGAGTGGCTGAATGCCATTCGGAGCGACAGTAAGAGCACTGACCCCCCATCCCCTCTCACTGAGCCCCTATAGCCTTCACTGAGGCCCCATCCTGTCTCATCTGTCACTGAGCCCTCAATCCCTCCTCGAGTCCCTGGTCCCCTCAGGGAGCTTCCTTCTCCCTCACTGAACCATTGTACTTTCACTAAACCCCAGTCTCTTCAGAGAAGCTTTGCTAACTCTCCAACCCCTCTCTGAAACCTCCATTTTCCCACTGAGTCCCTATTCTCTTTTTGAGTCCCCCGATCTCCTTATTAAGCCCTGGTTCTTTCTCTGAGCCCCCATTCCCTTTTGAACCGCCATTGCCTTCTTTGAGGCCTCATCCGCTGATTGAACTTTCATTCCCTTCCCTGATCTCCATCCCCTTACTGATTGTTCATCTCTCTGATCTGCACCCCCCATTCCCTTCCCTGAGTTCCTATTCTTTTACTGATCCTGGCTCTCTCTCAGAGCTCCACATCCTCCAAGTTCCTGTCTGAAGCTCTATCCCCTTATTGACACTCCTCCCAGTCTCCCCCACTGAACCCACCTCTTTGACTGGGACATTTTTTACTGTTTTAAGTAAATCAAATCCTGCACATAATTCAAATCAAGTATATATATGCCCACCAACATCACCACTCAGCCCACCGATGACCAGATTAGGAGTGCCCTCAGTTGGGCTCTCCCACCTGAGACAGACCCAGAGTCCTATGGGGCCAAGAAGGTGCATGGGCAGAGCTCCTCAGGGAGAAATTTTCCCAGTTACTGCAGCCTCTGTCCCACTTGGCTATCCCTTTAACGAGCACCCAATCAGTTTGAAGGATCTAAATGAGAGCAGAGGTAATAGTCCTGGGTAGCTCCTGGTGGCTGTGGGTTTGAAGTGTCCAGGGACTGACTGGGAACTGACAGGGCCGCCCAGGTCTCGCTGGCTCCCTGGGCCAGAGCCCTGTCCTTGGTTCTCCCTTTCCCCCAAAAAAAAAAACCTTCCCACAGGGCTTCAAGCTGGGGAAAGGACTCTGGCCTTCCCTTCTTCCAGT